GAAATTCCTAAGAGCCCAAAGCATAAACCTGACCACATCATCAATGCTAAAGTAATTAGTCATAATTGTTTCTCCTAGACCTCTGACTTTTCTCCAAACCCAGCTATTCCACAAGCCAACCCATCACACTGTCCATCGTCACCCTTCTTGGGTAGTCAGATTCTCTTATCTGTACTCCATACATTGATATGCTTCTAGAATGGATGTGTGAAAGAAGCCTTTTGGCTTAAATGTAGCCATCAAAGTCCTGTTCTTGGTTCTCCTATCACTTGACTTATCCACACGTGTAGATCTTGAGAGCCCAAATCCTACTTGGCTCTGAGTTTTCTTTCCCTCCACAACTGAGCTTCTGATTCGTGCCTCAGCTCGCCTTTCTGGACATCACATCCAGCCTATCAACACAGCTTTTCTTTTTCTTAGAAACCAATCAAAGTTCCATAACAACCAGTAAAGGAGACAGAGAATTGGTGAGAAGGATGGGTCTCACAGTATGGAAACCAATTTTGAATTGGCTATAGGTATTTCCTTAATTCTAAAAAGCACACTTGTTTTCTACATTTTTTATGTTTCTGAAGTCAATGTATCCGCTAATTAATAATTATAATTAATGGTTAAGCACAGTTGATTTTTTTTTTCCCTAAAAAACTTTCATTGAATCAGTGCTGGATTCTAAGAATGAAGGTGTATGATATGTCTTCAGATATTTTGTTTAGGTTGATTCACTAGCTGTAAGGACATTGGAGTACGTTGTGCAGCTGGGAACACTGAACTGAGTGGAGACTAAGAAAATCAGGGTTAGTCAGGGAGGCTGGGGCCAGGTTTTCATTTTAACCTCTGATTCTTTCATAACTATTTGTTCTGAGCATCTGGGCCTCNTTTTCTTTGGAGACAGTAATGGTTGTATATTTGGTATAGATTTTCTTCCTTCCCATTTCCTTCTTACCTTCCTCCCCCTCTTTCACCCTCCCTCCCTCTCTTTCTTCCTTTCTTTTCTTCTTACTCTTCCTCCTGCTTCTCTCTTTTTTTTTCCTTCTTTTGCTATACATTTTGGAAATCTAAGTATGGGAAATAAGGAGTCTTGGGATCCTAGTTAATGGCTCCAAATTCCCCTTTCTTCATATATCCAGTATGCATACAAGCTACTCGCATGAGCAAATAGTTGAAAAACACCTTTAAGCCAAGATCTCTGTATTTAAAGTTCATATGCAATGTATTGTAGAAATATTTTCCTGCCTGATTATGCTCTGGGAATCTTGTATTCTGCAGAAACTTGACAACATATGAAGGGACATTTATTCTCAATGTCTGTCTGTACTGACCTTTCCCCCGAAAGACACTCAGATCCTTAGAACAAGGATTCCATTGTGTGCCAGGTAGTAGCACACATGTGATCTCATGGCTCCCTTCTGGAGTTGGTCTGCTTTGGAATTTATAGCAAGAAGATATCACAAATCCCTTTACTAGCCAACCCAAAGGCAGGGCTGGTCATCTGTGAGGGAAGAATGTGTGGTTAACTATGCGAGGTAATAAAGGAAAATTTTCCTGTTGAAAGCTTTATTCACCACATGCCTGTCATTGGGGTCTCATAAATTCTTTGTGGACTAGTGGCTGGCAAACCGTGACCAATGGCCTCTATGGCCCAATGCTTGTTTTGTAGATATAGTTTTAATGCCACAGGCATACCTATCCATTAACTTCCTGTCTTTGGCTACTCTTGTGCTGCAACGGCAGAGTTGGATATTTGTGACAAAAACTTTATAGCCTGCAAAGCCAAAAATAGTTACTCTCTGCCATTTATTGGTAAAGTTTGTTAACCTTGGTGTTAGAGACACATTCCTTTGGGTTTATTATCCAGTTGAAGCGTAATTATTGGTGAAGGATTTGGGTTACTTATGGGTGGAGGAAACTGTAGGGAATATGAATTCTCTTAGGAAAAGATGAGGCACAAAAGGCTTCTTATTTTTATTATGATTTGTCTTCTCCCTGTTGTATATTAAGATGGGATATCTGCCCCACGTGTCTTTTGTTCCCCATTATTTCTCAATACCGCCATTATTATTCAGTTGACTCAACTGGTTCAGGGCCCTCAGAATAAATTTTTCTCATATGGAGTTGGTAAGTCACAGTGAACAGAGCTGAGCTGCTTTTGAATTTCAGCAATGTCACTTGATAGTGATAAAAACCTGTGCAATTTACTTAATTCTTCTAAGCACCAGTTTTCTCATACTATTATTGTCAATTACAAACTGCTGTAGAAATTGTTCTGAGTTTTAAATATAATAACATATAATTGAAGAAATAACTTCATGAAGAATGGGAAAATATATAACAGAATTGAGAAGAAAGAATATTCAAACATATCGTACCATAGACATGAAAATTAACTAATTGTAAAGCTTAGAGATGAAAAAATACAACCACTAAAATTAATAAATCCTCTTAATTGAATATTATACTAATATTAAAAAATGAATTAGATTCAGATGTAAAAACATGAATTAAAAAAATAATATTGAGTTAAAAATGCTGAACGATATATAATTTATGCTGATTTTTTTGCATAAAGTTTGACAAGTAAAACAATACTACATATTTTTATTGATTTTATTGATTTATATTGTATACATCAATATGAAATAAGAAAATACATATGATATTTCCTAACTTAAAAGTAAATAATCAGAATCAGTGGCAGAAAGCTCTCGTCTCTTAATGTTTTTTTCAAACATTTTATTTGGTTGAGTTGGTTAGTGTTGGAGGAATGGATTGTTTATGAATTGGAAGGGCCACTGAGCTGAGTGTGAAGAGACCTGATGATTTGTCTGAGTTCTGTCAATACCAGGGGAATGTTTGGTAGTGGCTGGTAACAATTAGGATTCTTAAGTGCCTTACTGTTTATAAAGAATTCCACATATTATCTCATTTAATCCTTACAACAGCCAGATGCGATGGATATAATTTGCTATTTTTTGGTAGTGAAGCTTCACCTCAGGTATACTTCGTAGCCAGGATCTAAGGTTGCTAGATTTAGCAAATATTAATCCAGGAGGCCCAGTTAAATATGAACACCAGCTAAACAATACAGTTTAAAAAAAATAACCATTTAAATTTAATACCACATGATAATCAACAACACATTTGCCAATATAGTATCCATCAAAACATGATCTCAAACACAGCATAATTTTTTAAGATTTTTATTAAAATATAGCTAACATACAATATTATATTAGTTTTTGGTGTACACCATAGTTATTTGACATTTATATACCTAAAAAGTGATCACCATGATAAGTCCAGCAAACATCTGACACCGTACCACACTATTGACCATATTCCCTATACTGTACATGACATCCCCATGACTTCTTTGTTGTATACCTGGAAATTTGGGTGGCTTATTGCCCTTCACCTCCCCTCCCCACCCCTTTTTTCATTTTTCAATTACAGATGACATTCAGTATTATTTTATATTAATTTCAGGTGTATAGCATAGTGGTTAGACATTTATATAATTTAAGAAATTATCCCCAATTAGTCTAGTGACCACCTGGCACTATGCATAATTATTACCATATTAGTGATGATATTCGCTTTGCTTTATTTTATATCCTTGTGACTATTAATATTTTGTAACTACCAATTTGTGCTTCTTAATGCTTTCACCTTTTGCACCCTGTCCCTCAACCCCCTCCCACCTATCATCCTGATAAATCTAGTACCCGTCTGACACTATACATAGTTATTACAATATTATAGACCATATTCCTTATGCTATACCCTATATGCCCATGACTACTGTGTGACAAGCAATTTGTACTTCTTAACCCCTCCCCTCTTTCATCCACCTCCACTACCCTCCCTCCCATCTGGCACCCATCAAAACGTTGTCTGTATTTCTAAGTTTGTTTCCATTTTGTTTGGCTGTTTATTTTGTTCTTTAGATTCCACCTATAAGCAAAATCATATTGCATCAGTCTTTCTCTGTGTGGCATACTTTACTCAGCATAATACCCTCCATGTCCATTCATATCACTGCAGATGGCAATAGCTCATTTCCTTCCATGGCTGAGCAATATTCCATTGTATATATGTACCAACTACTGTTTATCCATTCATCCATCAATAGACAACCAGGCTGCCTCCATATCTTGGCTCATTGTAAACAGTGCTGCAATCAACATATGGATGTATATGTCACCCCAAAGTAGCATTTTGGGTTTCTTCAGATAAACACCCAGAGGTGGGATTACCGGGTCCTTCCTTATCTCTTGTTATAGCCTTTGTTTTAAAGTCTATTTTGTCTGGTATAGTGTTACCCCAGCTTTTTTTGTTGTTGTTTGTTTCCATTTTCATGAAATATCTTTTTCCATCTCTTTACTCTCTGCCCGTGTGTGTCTTTCAATCTGAATTGAGTCTCTTGTAGGCAGCATCTGTAAGGCCCTTGTTTTCTTATCCATTCAGCTACCCTGCCTCTTTCTTTTTTTGTTGTTGTTTTTGTTTTTGTTTTATACATTACAACATTTAATCTCAAAAGAATTCTGAGGTATTCCCATTTTAAAGATGCTCAAATTCTGCACAGAGAGATATGTAACCTGCTGAAGTCACAGTTAATCAATGGTAAAGCCGAAACTAAAACTCAGTCAGCCTGGCACCCATGTCTTATTCTTAACCACTACACTGTAGCAGCCTCTCAGCTCAGCCCTGTGGCTAAAGATAAGAGTTACTCCAGGGCAGTATCAGGTCAACTCATGGAGAAGCTCAAGAGGAAAACATCTATGGCTGGCTTCCTATAGGAAAACCCCAAGGCCCAAGGAGGGTTAGGCCACTGGGGAGCCTTGACTGCAAAGGACCATGCAGGACCAAGCACAACTAGACTAAACAAGTGCTATTCCACCGGCAGCTTACTACCAGCCCAGCCTGACTGCTGAGTATGATAGGACAGCCCAGGAGGAGGTTTTGATTTCTTCTCCAACCTTGTAACCAAATGGGAGACTGCAGCCAGGCTTCCTGGAGATGCTACACGCCAGGTGGTGGTGCGCTCTGGTGAGAACCAGGGGCCTGTGTATCAGGCAGGATTGGACTATTTTCTCTGAGTTGGGTGAGTGGGGTGATAAGGGGAGCTGAGCTTCATNGATTGCACCTTTTGGAGATTTTGCCCAGTTTTGTGTTAGTAAAGGTTTAACAACTAGCTTTCCAGGAAAACCAAAAAGAAACAAAATAATAAAACCCTGATTACTCTGTTTGCCAAGTTCTGTGGTAGAACTACTCTGACCACCACTGATTTCAACCTACTACTGCTGTAACAACCAGCTCACAAATTCCCGAAATTTTACCACTCGGCAGCTGTATGAGTTGACTTGGACAAATCACTGACTTTACTTTTTTTAATTAGCATTTTCTCTCAAACGCTTATCAGTTAAAATCGGGCTAGGCATTATATTAAGCAGCAGCCACCATCACCACCATCGCCTCCACCACAACAATACATGAAAAAGTCAGGAGTAATTATTGAGCCCTGTAACACATCACTGGGGTCTATACCCCAGGTTTCTTGCTAATGTCTATTTGAGGTCCACAGAGGAATCAGTATATTAAAAATATAAGCCCATTCTAACTCTTTTTTTCTGTCAAAAAAGAAAAAAATATATATCCAACCAACTTTCATTTAAACAAAAGTGATTTATTGCTTTCAACCACAAGTCTATGTATTTTGGCAGGAATATTAAATGTGTCCGTCATTCTACAGTTGCAGCTATGGAATGTGTCTGCGTACACTGCCTGACATGCTCTGTCATACTTTCCATCTCTCCATCTCTCATTGATGCCTCTCCTTCCTGGTCAGCAGCCAAAGAAGAGCACAAGGTCTATACTCTGCTGGTGAGACAATCTGTAGATTTTGGCTTTGACCTTTCCAGACCTGCCAGTCTTTATTTTGTGGTTTCTTTAGGAATGGGCCTGACCCCTCTGAATGGCCACCAACTCAATGGTCAGATAGGGAAAATCATATTGATGTTCTTCTAGTTGCTAGGTAGGGCAGAGGGAGCAATGAAGTGTGTGTGTGGCTGGACTTCAGGTGACTTGGGGAAGTGGATACAGTTTGGAAATGGTGGCTTTCTGCTCAGGGTCAGCACCAGACGCAGGCAGAGAACCATTCAGGGAGAAATTGGTGGGTTAAGATTGCCTATGTCAGATGATGATAACACAGTCAAGGAAAAAAATGCATCTCTAGCCCTAATTAATAACTGGCACACTTTCCTTAGCCTTGGATTCAGGGTTATTTCCATGTTTAACAGAGCCAAAATACCAGGCATAAATAAACAAAGTGGGTGTGTTTGTGTGTGTGTACCATCTTGATAGGGTTCCAAACTCTTCCTGGTTTGCTTAGGATTTTTCTGGTTTTAG